TGGGTTATCAGTTGAGAAACAATCTCTGCTTGTTTGCTCTGCCCTTCTGCTAGCCATTCTTGAAATACTGTTGCCTTGGATACAGCTGGGTGTGGAGCTCTACCAGGGACAATGGAACAATTCCTGAGTTTAACTTAGCTGAGAACTATAGAAACCTGAGTTTAATTCAGCTGAGAACTATAGGGACTATTTTAATTTCAACCTTTTCACTTTCAGAATTGTGAGTGATCTCAGAGCATATTAATGTCACCACTCAGTGATTGTGAAGTCCACAGAGTAGCAGTCCCTGTCTTCATAAGACTCCATGACCAAATGGGAGAGTCACTTCTGATGATGGTAACTTGGACTAGTAGATTAGAACTGACCGCAGCGAGCGAGAGACATGAACCAAGTTGGCCAGAAGAGAAACACATCTTGGTAACGGATGAGGGAACCAGGAGACAGGGTCATCATTCCCAAACAAGGCTGGTCATTCTCACTGGGAGATGAAATCAGCAGGTAGGTGATCACAGGAAGGAAACAGTAGACGTGAGAAGAGAAGTAGGGCCACTGAAAAATCCTTCCATGTGTTCTGGCTCCACAATCCATCTCAGTTTTTTGAAGAAGGTTCTGGTAAGATCAGGAGCTCTAAGTTTGTTTTTAACATGGTTTCTTTTAGGGACCCTCACAATTCATCCATTCTGTTTCCTTGAGTGCATTGTGTACCATTCCCCAAAGAGGAGACCAGAAAATTTACGAAGAGAGATGAAGAGAACAAAATTGGGAAGAACACTCCCCCCTCCTGGGGAGGTGACCTTGGCATCGAACAACATTCCAAGAAGGCTCTTTCCCAGCTGGACAGATGGCGCATCTGGAGGACAGGAAGAGCTGCCCTATAAGACTCCAGGAATTCTTGGTTTAGACTGAACATCTCTGGGAACCGAAACTTCCCCTGAGATACCTCAGTGACATTGTTTAATTAAGTCCTAGAGGTAACTACAGGCAGTCTTTGGATTACGAATGAGCTCGGTTCCTAGATCTGTCATTACGTCAACAGTTGTATGTGAGTCAGGACAGTAGGTGTGGTTTGTACACAATGTCAGTAAGTCCCGTCTGTGTATTCAGGTACCGAATACCATTCCAAGCACACAACCCACCTCGCATACAATACAGTAATGACAATGTGTAGCTCCGGTTTGTTATTGTTAGCCATTGTGTGTGCCTCATCTTTGTGATGCGATAGGCTTTCTAGTGTTTGTTTATAACTACAGGTGGGATGTGAGTGGGAAGTCTATAATGAGGGAACAGCCTGTACTAACCAAACCTCATGTGGAGAGACTGAGTCCGGAACAGGAATCAGAGCAGGACCCCAGGGGAAGGCGCTGCTGGAAGCCCACTGTGCAGGTGTGACCCCTGCCCTGCTGCGTTAGGTACTAGACCACCATCCACACAAACGGCAATCCATGGAGGTCAGCCAGAGCTTAGTGTGTGTGACACCGGACCAACCGGTCCGTCTCTGGTGGCTTGGTCAGCTGAGGCATACTGGATTTTTGGGTCATCTGCTCAGGAATGAAGAAGCAAAACCCACTTGTGAAATGATTCAACACTGTGCACTTTCCTGCACTCACCTATTTGTTCTTCTAAGAGACTGACAGCACGTGGTACAATTAGCCCTTAGTCTAATGGGAAGTTTGAAGGTTCAAGCCCACAGCAGCTCCATAGGAGAAAGACTTGGTGAGATGGTCCTCGGAAGGCCAGGGTCTAGGACAGCTTGGAGCAGCTAGTTGTCCTCGGTCACAGGGGTCACTAGGTAAAAGCCTACAAGCAGCACACGACAACAGCTGATAGGAAAGATAGCAGCAAAGTGACTATCGGTTATTGGACTCTTCCTGCCAGTAGACCCTATACTCACTCCTCAGAAGTGCCGGGGAAGCGGGTTCTCTTTCCTGTGAACGTGGAACCTGAGGCACGGAGAGCCTCAGGGGCCTGTCCCGGTGGGCGATGGAGCCCTAGGAACATCCTGGGTCTATCTGGCCTCAACTTTGAACTTTTCATCATAAACTAATGTCGGTGGCCCTACTGTCGTGGTAAAGCCTTGTGTTGGTGCCAGGGCACAGGCCCCTCCGCTCTCATCTGTGGGTACCTGCTTGGTGGCCTTGCAGCCCCTCCCAGAGCCTCGGGCTTCTGCCAGGGAGTATCCAGGTGAGAAGCTGAAACCTTTCCCTGGCCACACCTTCCCGAGGCCCTGGGGCCAGCCACCCCTTTGAGTTTCAATTTCAGTTCCAACAGAGGAACTGTTGACATGTGATGGAGTTTGGAGGTCAAAGGCAGGCTGAATTTCTAATGGAAGAACGTGTGGGTATCCACTGTGCCCCGAGGGGCAGTGCTGACCCAGTCACACAGGGACGTGTGGAGGAACGGGCACCACACGCAGAGGCAACCACAGAGCAGCTCCGATGAGCCACCAGCAGCTGTGACAGATCCCTGAGCAAGCCCCCACTGTCACTGCCGTAGCTGAGAGCCGCTCGGGCCAAGGCTGAGGGCTCCGTCCTGCTCTGCTGAGTGCAGAACGAGAGCGTGGAGCGGGGACAGCACTGCTTGAGCACACCCTAGGCCAGTTTCCATCAGTGAAAACAAAGAAAGGCAGCTGCACTTTTCACCCAGTGCTGTCGTGTGGTTGTTGTTAAGTGCCGTGGAGTCGTAGACAACTCATAGCGGCCCTATAAATGAAAGACCTGAGCACTGTTCATATAGTTTCTGGAGGCAAGCCATTTCAGTAGTGGATGCCACTCCTGCTTCCAAGCTTCTTTTAATCGGAAAGCTCCACCAAACACTGTCCACCATGGGTGACCGTTATCAATCACATTTGGTACATCAGAGTCACAGTGAAGACAAACGTGCTTGATTTATCTCTTTGAAGTGACAGGATGGTCAGGACAGCTACAGGGTGATATCAGGTGTTTGGACAAGGGCTAATTTCATTGTTCAACAGTGGTGTTATTTCCAGATCTGCCTCTGTCCTTAAGGACGGGACGTGGATTTGGTCAAGCCAGGCACTTGGAACCAGCCAGAGTGGATCCCACCACACATGAACCCCAGAATTTTAGGGCATTTAAGGACCCTCGGAGAGACGAAAATCCATTTACTCCATTTATGGGTTCCTGTTGCATTTTTTTTTTTTGTTTCATAAAATTCTTTAGCTAATTAGTTATTTTTATGTAATTATCCTGAGGCTTGTAAAAATCACTTTGCAAAGGACGTATGTGGCTCTGAGCAGGAAACATCAGTGGCAGAGGTGGGCTGGCATTTCCTGAAGAACACCCTGTGTGCCCACGTCTTGGATGCCGCATTAGTGCGCGAGGGTGTAGCCCCTGGGCCTCAGTCCCCCTCCACACACAGAGGGAACAATGGAAAGAGAAGTATTGAGAGCTCCCAGCCAGCTCAGGTCCCTGGCCAGTCTTCTCTGAATTCTGTCATCGGTTTGGAAAGGAGTCATCTTAGCAGAGAAGACAAATGATAGAACCCGAAAGCCTGGGGCTGAACCCCAGTGAGGCCCTTGGGGTTGAGAAGCCTCAGATCAGTGCAGGGCGCAGATTTCCTCATCTGGCCCAACTCTCAGCTCTGGACAGGATGGTGGGAGATGCCAGTGACTCAGGTTACATGTTTGCTGGAACCAAGGACATAAGAGAAGGTCCCCTCATGGCCCCAGTGCAGCGACAGAGACAGCAGAGTGAGCGGTGAGGACCAACATGGCCCGGAGAGGTAGCTGTGGACGCTCTGACGGCCGCTGCCTGCATGATGCGGGGTGGAAACATCTCCGTTGAAATCCCTCTGTAGGTTGGCTTGGTTTTCCCACCTGATTCCATCTAACTTGTTGGGGGACACAGTTGAGATTTAGATGAGAGACGGTTCATGCTCCCCAGCTGTCATGTTAGGTCCACCCTGATGGGTGCCTTTGGTACAACGTCTTCTTGATCTTTTCTTTATCTGACATTCTTTTTCCAATATGTGAAGTACTAGGAAGCTTCTGAAGTTTCTGGGTAAAGTTCAGTGTTTCTGGACAATTGTTAGCATGCTCACATGTTACCTGAAAGGTCAGAAGTTCAAGTACTCCCAGACACATCTGGGAAGAAAGACTTGGTGGTGTACTTCTGAAAACCAACCCGGGAGAGCCCCTCAGAGCCCAGCTCTACTTTAGTGTGTGAGAGGTTACCATGAACCAAGGTCAAGTGGATGTTGGCAGGTAGAGAAGCAGTTGTCCGTGGAAGAATGAAGAGACCCCCTCTTGTCGGTCTCGGCTGTCCACCACAGTTGTTGCTGTGTGCTGTCAGCTTGGAGCTGACCCATAGTTGACCCTTCAGCAGGTTTTCAGAGGCTGTGATTTGCAAAGGAGGAGATTGCCTATGTTTTTTTTCCATACAGCAGCTGGTGGATTCGAACCACCTGCCTTTGGGTTGGCAGCACTACTCTTTACCACAAAGCCTCCCTAGCTCCCTGCCCACCACAGTGGGAAAGCTAAGTGGTGTTGGCGATCCTCGCTTGCCTTACTGTGTTTGTGTCAGGTGTTGACAGCTTGCACCTGCCACCGTTCCCATATGAGCTAAATGAAGTAAAGCTCAGATCACGGACTTGCTACTCCCAAGTCAATGACGAAGCACTGGACTGGAGTCAGGTGACAGCCAAGCACTTCCCAAACAGCTCATGAGGAGAAGGACCAGGGCACCTGCCAGACACTAGACGTGCTGACCCCTGTGCTCCGCCCAGACTTGTGTGAGCTCCGTCCGGAAAGGTGCCTGTGAGCTGGAGGCTGCAGCAAGGACCCTGAAATTCCTGCTGCCTGGGACCCTTGGGAATCTGGCTTTCATGGGTCCCGGTGGTTTCGAGGGCAGCTTCCCTCAGATGACCTCTGCCTTGGACATTGGTGAGCTGTAATTGGAGGGATGTCTGGAAGTCTCAGAATCAGCTTTTTGTCTTCCATAAAGCAAGGCTGTGTGTCCTGTAGATTGGGGACGTCTGGGATGTTGATTGGCCTAGTCTGACTGACAGGGAAGGACTTCCACATGGGTGATTCTCTACATTCATTAAGTATCTTCTGGGCCTTTGGCCATGTTAATATAAAGACTCAGGAGACAAGGACTTCTGAAAGCATAGATGAGGACTGTGAGATTGTAGGTTCTGGAACTATTGTTGATGCCATTAACAACTCAGAACCAAATGACGCATTTCCTGGATGGCAGCCTCTGGACTGGAGCCTCATACCTGTGAACTAAAGAGCTGTGGATTGACAACAGAGACCTTCTGTTAGCAGGCCAACAGTTGGGTGTCCGGGGATGTGATGAGCCCTGGGTTCAGCTGTGGTCCAGGCCAGGCAGCTCATGTGTCCTTGGGTTCCACGTTTAGAAAACACTCACCTGTGTCCCAGGGTAATTGAGAAGAGTCATTCCCTCAGTGGTTTTAAACCACTGGTCCTCGAGAGGCTGCCAGGGAATTGCTTCTAATAGTCAAAGCTTTCACTTGAGTGAATATCGAAGCAGAGATTTGACCCTCCAGAAAAGGAAAATGCTGTAATTTGCCACAGATGGAGACAGTCACGTTTTCACTTGTCAGATGTCTTCTCTCAGCCTGGACCACGAGTGGGCTGAGACGTCGTTGGTGCTGTTAGATGCCCTGGGATTGACTGTGATTGCAGCGACTTCAACCCACAAGAACAGCAGCTCTGAACCTTGCCCTGTCCTGTGCTGTCCTCAGGAGCGCCGACATGCTCAAGCTCACTGTTGTGGTAACTGTGCCAATTCACCTTGTTGACAAGCTCCCTTCCTCTCTTTAACCCTCTACCTTTCCAAGAATGACGTCTTTTACCAAAATCTGGCCCTCCTGAGAATCTGTGCAAACTATGTGATATGAAATTATGATGCTGTGAAGTAGTTTTTAACTCATCTCCACAACCACTAAAGTTTGAACAAGTCTAGAGAAATTCCTTGCAGACCCTGGGAAGGCTCTCCTTTTCCTCTGAGCTGGTGGTTTGACTTAGCCGGGTGCAGAGGTGAAGCTCGTTAGTTGGTCACGTGCTAACAAGCTGTTGAGTTGCCAAGACTCTTGTGGAGGTGCCAGGCATCGAAGGACGTTCTGTCCATCACACTGGAAGGACTTTGGACGGACACACTTAAACATCAGGGTAAAGTCAGTGGCTTCCCAAACTCAAAATTAAATGGCCAAGCTTCCTGGTCCAGTGGAGACTGATGGGACCCCATGACTATAACTCTCACTTTTTGAACCTAGTACAAAGCTCTCTTTCTTGGCTCAGCTTGTAGGTGACAGCAGGAAGGCTGACAAGGCGAAGGGTAACATTAGAGAAGAGCTCAGTCCTCAGAATAATCAACCACGCAAGAACCAAAGGGCAGCATGTGTTCAGGAATAAAATTCAAAGGAAGAAAGGGATAGGGTAGAAGGGTGTATGGAAACAAGAATCACAGAGAAGTAGGAAGGCTGAGGCTACACTGAGATGTAATTAGTGCCATAAAACAAAGTGTGTATGAATAGTTGACTAGAAAACCAGTTGGCTTTGCAAACTCAAATCACAATGTTTAAAGTCAATACCTTCTATGTTGGGTTTGCAGTGTCTTTATGCAAATAATATAGGTGTTACACAAGTTCATGGTTTGGGTTTTTTTTGCAACTAAGAAACTCCTCTATAAATGTTTCTTATGTGCTTATTAGTTTCCCATTCACATTATGCATATGGTTTACATGAGCATGTTGTATGAGACAGTGTGGTAATCTTCATGTTTCTCTTTGCACAGAAAAGATATCCAGCAATTCTTTATTTTTACAAAGCACTCTCCACAATCTAGTCAGCCTTATAAGTGACTTTAAAAATTGTGCAAATATTTTTATTATGCCCATTTTACAGATTATCAAGCCGAGGCCAGGATATATAGAACTGAACCAATAACCAGGAGTATAGGTACTGAAGGACCAGATAAGTTTATGTAGCTTGATTCCACAGTAGCCGGCTTTATGCCAAAAATTGTCTTGTTTAATTGACTCCCCAGTTGATAAACATTGGCATTTCTTCGGCAAGTAAAGTAACTAGTTCCAAGAGAGGGGCTAAGAAGGGGTGGTCCTGTCTGGCTTTGGGGAACTTCTGTCTTCCTTTGAAAGGCTATGGTTATTTGTGTCAACAGGAAATAGGTTCTGTGCTTGGCAGTGAACACCAGTGAGGAAAGAAATTGACATTTCATAATTATGAAGATGTAAAAATATTCTAGTGGTAACAACCACCCAGATAATATTGATACGTCACAGCCGGAAGACACGTTAATGTATCTCCAGTACAAAATAAAGAATTAAGAAGGCTCACACAGTCATAGAACCTTTGCAATCTATATGATTGACAAGAAAGTAGGGCATTAAGTGGGGTTTGGAGCTGAGGCCTGCCTCTTTTTTTTTTTTTTGTACCCCTTGAGTAAATTCTGTGTCTTCTTTCCCTAGGTGACATTTTTTACCTTATAAAATGGCAATCATGGGTCTTAAAGACTGTGAAATACTTTATATCCAATATTTTAAAAGATGTGTGAACATTCTGTGCTTCAGTCATAGGTCCTGGATGGATCCTTGGTGACCTGTGGGTTGAAGAAACGCTGTCATCTTTGCCCCTTATGTCCCCTCAGTCCTGGTCAGTGAGTGGGAACTCGGAAAGGAAAGCCCACCGACTCACCTTCCAGGTTCAGTGACCTAAAGAAATACCGGCCCCTCCCCAGGGGTGCCTGAGGCCCTTCTTCCAGGAGCCTGCAGAGGGAAGGGGGCTTCTAAAAAGGTCGATGCACTTAGTCCTGGGGCAGAATCAATTTAGACCTCCCAGTCCCTGACTCTTACCTCCTAACCAGAACTGGCCCATATACAAGTCAAATCTCTCTCTCCCCCTTGGGCAATGATTTATTTCCCTCTTAAATTGGCTGGACCAGTTAGTTTTTTATTTTTATTAAGTCACACTATTCTTAAATGAAACTATTGATTTAAAGTCAGCTTAGTGAGGGTTTAATTTGTTTTCAGGGGATTAGAGCAGGTAGCATGGGATAATTTTACAATAAAGTGGAACAGAAGCATTCCTTCATAGTACCCTCTCCTCTTTCCTTGCCAGACGTTACACATTTTCAAGTAAATAGTGGAAATGCATTCATAAATCAGACCTAATTCTTCTGCCTGCTTGCGGGGGAGTCAAGGAAGTCTCTCCTTTGACCTTGGCCCCTGTCCTTCCAGGGCTTCCGTGCACCTGGCACTCCTGGGCCCGGGGTGTGCGCCTGCGATTCTCTGGGTCCAGGTCCGCGGTACCTCACTCTCCTACCACCTGCGCTCCACGTGCGCCCTGCCCCTGCTCACCACGTCTCGTCTCCTCGGCGTGTGTGTGTGTGTCCTGTCCCCTGCTCACCACGTCTCCTCTGCACGTGTGTGTGTCCCTTGCTCACCACGTCTCCTCGGCGTGTGTGTGTGTGTGTGTGTGTGCATGTGTAAGGGACGGTGCAACTCGTGCTGTGGTTTAACAGGGTCCTAGTGTAGTGATGTCTGAGTGAAGCTGCCGCTGAGGGCCGCAGAGATGCGCCCTCTCCTCCCGGTCCAGGGCGCGCCTGCGTTCCAAGTCCCCTGGGCGTCACCTTGGCCTCCATGCTCGCAGCAGTTCTATCCACCTGCACATTTCAGTAGCTGAAAGGCAGGTGAAGGACGGTCCTCACTGCGGTGGACATCCGGCTCCACAATGACTCCGCCAGAACCGGGGTGGCTTTTGGTTTTGAGAAAGGACAGTTGTCACAGCCAGGCTGTTACCTCTGAGGTTGGCTGCCACAACCCACTGTCCAAGGGTCTTTTCTTAGCTGGACATAGAAATTCCATATGATGCAGCTATTCCGCTGCCTAGAACACACCCTGAGAAAAGGAGAACTGAGGCGCCAATGGAGACTTGTACACCATTGTTCATAGCAGCATTATTCACCATCGCAAGAACGCGGAAACAGCCCGATGTCCAACCAAAAACGAATGGATTGAGAAATTATGGTAGATTCCCATGATGGAATATTACACAGCACGCAGGAGCAACGATTTGGTAAATTACTACCTAACTTGGGAGAGACTGGAGAGCATTATGTTAAGTGAACTTTCTCTGTCCAATAAGGACAAATACTGTGTAAAACAATTACTGTAGAACATGTATGAGGATCCAGGGATGGGGGAGGGAGCAGAGGGGGGAGAATGGGCGGAAATGGGTAAGATCTGAAGTGAAAAACAATGTATATGAACTTTGTAAGTAAACCCAATATAAAAGAAAAATTCTATTTAAAATCTTTAAAAGGGTCTTTTCTTCCTATTGCAGTTATACAGAGCCAGAGGGCGGGCCTGGGTTGAGACATCCTGAAACCAGCTGTGAGGTCACTCTGCACATGCTCAGTCATCTCCCGCCCCTCCCACCGGGGAGGTGGGTGATGGCTGACTCAGTCCTGCGATGCAGGGCACTAGGCTCAGCTCGAGAGCGTGGCTCCGTCCAGGTCACCTGAGTCTCGGTTCCCTCCTGCTCTGGGTCAGACATGGTTCCTGAGTGACCAGAAAGGGATCGAAAGGCCTGCTGGTCTGTGACAGGCGGCTGTCATCAGAGGGCAGCTGACCTGCCTGGGACTGCCTTTGACTTGGCTCCTGAGTGATGCCAGCGGATGGGTGCCTGGCCTCAGCCTTGGAGAGCAAAGGCACGGATGCTCTCTGGGCATTCGGACTCCCTGGTTTTGGACACATCATCAGAAAGGACCGAGCACTGGAAGTGGACCGAGCACTCACAGTAGGAAAAGTGAAAGGTCAGTGAGGATGAGGTAAGTGGACACAGCTGCTGCAGTGCCCTGAGTCGCACAACGGGGAAGGGCAGCTCGCCATGCGGTGGAT